AATCATATATAATTTATCAGCAGTGATGTATTACATACATCTGGATAAAGAGATCTTCACAAACATAACAGCATCCTGTAGAAAAGCATATTCACAACCCAAGTAGTAGAAGGTTTCAAGTCTCTACAGATTTATCTCTCCATTTCAAATGCATGTAAATTAGTGAATTTATACAATCTGCTTTGCTTTTTAAAGGACAATTTTTTAAAGAGCAGTTTTTCAGAGGTAACAAGCTAAATATACTTGTGAAATCAACAACACACTGAAGCAGTTTTAGAGTTTTTTGCTCCATTACCTGCAACACTTCTCTTGCTTGGGCAAGGATATCTGGATGACCACTTTAAGGGCCACACTCTTAGACAGTTGTGTAGTGACAAAAGACAAACATGAGAGAGAGAGAGAGAGCGAGAGCGAGAGAGAGAGAGTGAGAGTGAGAGTGAGAGAGAGAGGATCCCTTTTTACTTTAAAATGAAAACTAAAATGGAGAAATCAGGCCCAGGTTTGGTTACGTAAAATTTTTTGCTCAACAGTGCTAGGGATCCAGAATATTGCTAAGCTACTTTCTCTGTTACACTTGTCAGCATAAAAATAATGGAGAAAAAATAGAACCTCAGAAATCTGGAAAATGCCATCCTAAAGATATCACAGGCTGCACTGCCAAACGCTGTTTTCTCATTAGTATGGAAAAAAAATGGAAGTTTCTTGAAAACAATAGTTCAATACCAAATCTTTCATTTCAGTATATACATCCCAAACCTCCCTCAAAACTCCTGAGTGACCAAAGATATTAAGGGAGAGACAGTGTTCTTATCACCCTGCCCATCACAGACTGCCTCCTGAAGGATGATGCTGTCTTCCAGCCCCGTGAGCTTTTTCGTCTCTGCCTGATTGAGACAGCCTGAGTGGAAACCCTCAGGAGCCTCATCAGTCCTCACAAACCAGGACAACATCTAGAACAAGCCATAGAAAAGGTTCCCTGGGAGCAAAAAAAAAAGGAACATACACAAAATTCAGTGCTTTGTGATCCTGGAATATTTTTAGAGTCCAGAAATTACAAAACGGATTTTCACAGTGAATACTTTTAAATCACCTTAACCAATTAGTCAGATTTTAAAGGAAGTTTGTTTTGTTTTTTTTTTTTTTTAAAAATACAAATTTCTAAAGGAAGCTATTACATCACTACTGTCCAAAATCCCTTTAATAATTTGTAGCCTGGTGCCTCATATTTTATTATACAATTCCAAGTCACCAGAAATAACTTCTCAATCCAGCCAAGTCATGCAATCATGCACAGTGAGAAGCTGCTTTGAGGAGGAAGGGGCTAGAGGCTGAGGAGCCTTGTAGACGGTTTTATATGACATTAAATATACAACAGTCTCAAAATCCAGAATAAAAAATACTCAAAATACCAACAGCTCTGAGCTTCAATGAATTTTAACTTGCCCTTTTTTTTAGCACAAGCTCACATGACTTGTTAAATAATTTACTCTATAAATTACTTATCCTGTCTTACTTATTAACAATTCTAGAGTGCTTTATATAACTGCATTAGAAATTTATTTTGTGGTTTTGAAATGTACGCAATACACAATCACCTCTCTTTTAATAGGCAAGAGCTTAAAAGTTGCCTACTATTTTGTTGGCAAGCAGTTCTTCCTGAAAAATACCAATTAATTTCAAACCTCATTCACCTGAATAATCATAAGTAAGCATATTAATGACTTGATGGCAGAACTGTGAAGCTAGGCCAGGAATATATTTGTCACTTTTAAATCAAAGTCTTTGAAGAGTCGTGTACACCGAGACACAACAACAATACATTTTCCTTAATAAGAAAATATTACACTGGTCCTTTTACAAGAAGTCCTGAACACTAAAAAATTCTCATTAACTATGCTATTAGTATTTTTGCATGAGTGATCTTGACAAGGCCTACTTATTTGCTTTTGTGTCTACAATGCATGGATTTTACAAAACTAATAAAGTCATTTTGCTTTTGTCACTCTTGGTCCTTGGCTATTAATGTATCGATGACCATTTATCCTAATGCAGGATCTCACTCCGGAATTCAATTTATCTCCAATAATACCAAAGTGATGAAACAATTATTACAAGTACAGTCTGTTATGATAAGTACCAGTACTTGCCTTCCACATAAAGACCAGCCCACATCATCATCTTAATCAACTGGGCAAATCTAAAATCTGTCTTATTTACCATAGTAGAGAACTATGCAAAAACAGCCAGGAAGGGAAAGAGTGAGAGAGATGACTAAGAAAGCACCAGGCATAAATACTCTTATGCCCTCCCACATCAAGTTTTAGCAGCTGGCCTTCATAGGGCTGATGCAGAAGAACCCTCTCCATCGATTTGGATGCTGGATCCAAGCAGGAATCAAGAAATAGCTGGACAGGGATGAGACTACTTATAGACTCTAAAGCACAATCCACCTGTGGACCAAAACAGAGGTGAAGCACCTGGGTGTTAAGTGGTGGATGCTGCTAGATACATAGTACCTCATCTCTGTTATTCTTGCTGCACCATCCCATCTTTTTCCATCTCTTAAAGCCAAGTGGAAAACCCTGGCTGCCCACTCACATGCTGCCTGCTCAGTGCCATCCACCTAGAAAACAGCCAATTCTCTGCACCACCATGGGCTTCACATACAGCCCTGACCATGCAGTTATCCCAGCACTCCCAGTGCCTGTGGATAGGGTAAGGAACTTGATTCAGGACCCATGCCCCGGGAGCCAGTGGATGTTTCGCCTAGGACTGCAGGATCCACTCCTGTCAAGACCAGGACATTACCAAGAAGTAAAGGACTGATTTCAACAGATACTCAGGAAATACACGCAAATAAATTCTTCAAATTAATTGTCTTATCACATGTTACTTATACCAATAAAAATTCCACCAGAGACCAATGGAATGTCTCTGCAGAGCACATAAAAGGAGAGCCAGGCCTAAAGCTACACAAGTGAAATGTAACACCCCAGTCTCTTAAACCTGTTTCATAGCTAGAATTAAGCAAGATCAGTGATATTAAAAATGGTTTGACAGTCTGTACCTACTTTATTAGAATTGCTTCTGTATGTACTTAGGGGTTACAGAGCTCACACAATGAAATAACATGACAGCTACTGCACTTCAATTTTTAATTTATATAAACTAATTAAAGGATCCCTGTGTTTTATGTTAAGAGCACGCATGAAAAGACCATCTTAAATACATGCAACAGCATCTCCTGAGAAATCCATGACTCAAAATTATTTTTAGATCCCCAAACACAACAATGTGCAATGTCACAGAATGATACAGTAAAAGCCAAAAAGAACTGTAAAGACAACTATGCTCAAGAAAAACCAGAAAAATTAGAGCAAAAAGTATCGGTGTCAAATGACTAGACATGTTCTAAGTTGATCATGGAAGAGAACACATTTATAATATGTCTTTTCTGTTCTGGCCTTTCAAACCAGAGATTAAATTTTAGAGGAAAATTGCTCTGTTACTTCTAAACAGAATGCACTGGATAAAAAGGCTACCAAAGCCTATAAAAATGAACACAGATGCACAGCTCAAAGTAATGTTTTTTTTTCTATTTAAGCAGTCTACAGAATATTACACAAACATCTGAATCAATAACAGTTATAACTCAGAAAGACCATTTTTTTATCACAGGTCCTAAAAGAACTCTGAAAGGTAGGCCATACGTAAGTAGTAGAATTGAATGCCTCCAGCTTTTCCCCCAAGCACATGGAGGGAAATGCAGCAAATTGACTTCAATGAACTGCAGGAATGTAGCCCAAAGGCTAGAATTTAATCTAAACTCACACCGTATTTCACAGTACTTTTTTATTTATTCTAAAAGACACTGAAAAACAGAAGAAGGATGGAGAATACAAATAGTGAGAAATCTGTATAGATTTGGGGCAAATATGGTGGTATCTTTTACATTAAATGCCACAGAAAGCAATTAAAAAACGGGGGTAGGGAAATACGAACAAAAAGGCTTGAGAAGATTTTTTCCCGAGATCTATCATCTACACATCAGTGTCCAAAATTTTAATCTCTGCAAGAGCTCTTCTTGCGTATGTAAGTGCTATGGTGCTCTGATCTGCGAAACGATGCAGGATTTAACACGAAAACCTACAGAACTCCGACACCAAATACTGTCTTGGAGGCCAACGAGGATGAAAGCACCACATGGGAATGAGAGGAAAAAAAACTTTTTTCCTCACGGTTAATTAGGGTTCTCTTATTCCCTCCCAGTTGCTGATAAGCAGCAGTAGGTTCATTCCTCTGCAGGTTTTGTATTTTTTCCTTCCAGCCACCTCCACTGAGAAGGTCAAAGCAGGTTCGCATTCCTATGGTTAGGGCATAAAAGGCAGTTTGCTGTCACTTTCTGCCGCATCTCTACCTTCACTTTTTTACTTTTTTCTTTTTACTTTCTTCTCCTTTTTTTTTTTCTTCTTTTTGTGTACGAAAATAAAACAGGAGAAATCTGGGGCGAAGGAGAAGCCACCCACCAAAACTCTCAGTTCGCGGCGATAACTGAGGGAACGGAAGGAAAAAAAAAAAAAAAAAAAAAAAAAAAAAAGAGAAAAACCCCTCCGTTTCATACCTGCTGCCGCCGCAGAGGTGCGGGCTGAGCGGTGCGCAACCCCCGGCAGCAGCTGGGGCAAGGGTCGGAGGCGAAGCCCCAGCCCCGTCCCGCTCCCCGGCTGCCCCGTGGTCCCGCTGCAGCCGGCGCTGACCCCCGCCCCGGTCCCCGCGACCTGCATCGCGAACAATCAAGATTCATCATCTAAACGGGCTGGCAGCGGCAGCTCTTTAAGCCGCGTCCAAGTGCAATCACACGGGGCTTTTAGGCTTCCAGCCACCGCATCTACCCGCGGAGCAAGAGTCTCTAGGCGGGGGTCAGCTCCCTGCCGCCTCCGCCCGCAGCTTCCCCCTCCTGCTCCGGCCCGTCGCCCCCGCGCCCGGCCCCGGGCCGTACTCACATCTCGGTAACATTGTCGCCCTCGGCGATCCTCTGCGGCACGGGGAAGGAGGCGATGCCCGGCGACGCTCCCGTGCACCAGATCCGCCAGGAGTTGCACCCGCAGGACGCGGGGCAGCCCAGCGCGCCCGGCCAGCAGCCCAGCACCAAGCAGCACAAGCCCCACAGCCGCGCCAGGCCGGGCCCCGGCCTCCGCCGCCAGGACACCATGCTCACTCCAGCACAGCCCCGACGGCCTCCTCCTGCTCCCGCCGCCACCGCTGCCGGGGCGCACGGCCGGAGGGTGCGCAGCCTTCCGCGCCGCGGGCGGGCACCCCGCGACCGGGGCTCACATGGGCGCGCCGCAGCTGCAGCCACGGGCGCCCCGCGGCGCTGACCGCCCCGGGCGGGCGCTGCGCGGGGCGGCAGGGGCTGGAGCTGGGCGCCGCGGCGGACAGGGGCGAGCGGGGCCTCCGGCGCGGCGCGGCACCTGTCCCTGTCCGGGCGGACAGCGGCACCGCCTGCCCCCGCGGCTGCTGCCGATGATGCTGCAAAACGCGCGGGGCGGCGGGGGCAGGTGCGGAGCCTGCGCTCCTATCTGCGGGGGCTCGGGCGGCCGCTGCCCGCCGGAGGGACGGCGAGCGGGCGGCGAGGGAGGCGCAGCGATCGGCGGCGGCGGCGGGGCTCAGAGTACCGCGCTCGCCCCTTTAAGCACCGTCTCCTCCTCCCTCCAGCTGATAATAAAGCAGCTCCGGCTCCTGCTCCAGCCCAAGACGGGGAGCTGCCGGCAAAGTGACGTGGGGCTGACGCAGAGAGGGGCAGAAACTCCACAAAATGAGCCTGAAATAAAAATAAAAAAATAAAAAAAAGACAAGGGAGGAGGGAGCGGGGGAAAGGGAGGGTGCCGAAGACCAGATACCAATAGGCAGGCTGCACTTGAGTTTTCAGCCTCGCACGTACATATACACACACACACACGCACTCATACAAGCGTACACGCACCCCGCGGGATGGGCAGCGCGCCGCCGCCTGCGCGGCCTCTGTGCCCTGCTGGGCGGACGGAGGCGCCGTGCCGAGAGGCACCTGGCATGCCCGCCAAGGCGGGAACTCGCTATCGGATGATAAACGGGGATGGTGCGAGAACCCCGGGAGGCGACGGATAAGCGACCCTAAAGCGCCTTGTTTTCCCCTTGACAGCTCGGTCGCGGCTGCTTTTCGTTTTTCTTCCCCCACCCCCGGCTGCGGGTTCCGCAGCGCTGCCGGTGCACTGGATCCCGCCGCAGTGCCCCGCGCTGAGCGCTCCGCAGGCGCCACCGCGCGTCCCGCCGCCGCCCTGCACCGCGGCCCGGCCCGCGGGGCCGTGCAGCCCTGGCGCACACCCCCGTCGGCGCTGGGGGGACGGCACACGAGGCACCACAAGAAGAAGTTATCATTTCCGTACATCGAGGCTGAGGCAAGTCTGAATGACATACGTGTGTCACGTACTCGCAGGTGCAAGAGCAGCTGATGTGGTATGCTCTTCCCTTGCCGTTTCTGAGATTGTCCTTCGTCTGTGACGACAAGCTCTTCACTTACCACTTTACCATTAAGTATACAGATGTTGATTGCCCTTTCTTACCTAATTACCCAAACTGAGTGTTTTGAAATTACTAAATCAGGGCGAATTAAAGAAAACAAAGGTTACAGAATTCCTGTTACAAAGGTACAGAATGAACAGTTAATACAGTGTTAGAAGGTGCTTGGGAATAAATTTGACATGACGCTGAAAGAAAACACACCCTATTCTACTTGCATCTGCTCAGGCTAACGGGAAAATCCACATCTTACCGGATGGCTTTTTGTGCCTGGCATGGGTTGATTTCGCTTTAAAAGAACATCCTAACTAGGTAAGAAGGTCATATCCATACCTACCTGAGACACACTATACCAAAATAATGTACCTCCCCATAAAGCAACAAATGCAGACTGCACAAAAAGACATAATCAAAAGTATTGTCAGTCGTGATATTTTTAAACCAAAGTTATTGAAGTTTGAATATACTGCCTCTCTATTAAGTTCAGGACTTTGTCTGTACTAAATAAAACACAAGGAAGATGAAGAGTCCAAATGAATAACAAAGCAAATGATACTGCATAAAAACATGGAAGGACCTTTTGTCTACACCTAATAATTATTTTTTTTGAAAGGCACTAATAAATTTAAAGTATTTGTCTAAACAAAATATTTATGGAAGGGTAGCAAGTAAGATAAAATTTTCACACAGAAATTTTCTAGAGGCAAAAGTTGGTGATTTTTAAAGGATTTGGAGGAAAGAAAGATTAATAGCATAAAGTACAATATGTTTCAAATTAGAAAATACCTTGAGAAAGAGTTTAATGCAAGATAGAAGTAAAATTTTGAAAGCTGTAAGTTGATGCAACACCTGGATGTTCTCCAGTTAAGTCTGCTTACAGCTTTGGAAGCTATGCTTTATCCCACTCTCTCTCCTGGAGGAACACAGACATCACGTCTTTAGGGCAATAAGTACCCATTTTAACTGTCCTAGTGATTTTATGACAACAAGCTCACATTTATCTAATCATATACAGGCACATACTCAATATTATTCTTTATCAGACATCTCTGTTTTCTATGAATCTGTGAAACTGAGGAGTTGTCAAACGAGTTTAAGATAAAACCATGCAGTTGGATCAAACTGGCTAATTAGATAATTCAATAGTGTTGAAAGAGTAAAGTTCCATAGCCCAGATCATACATTCATAAATCTGCAAATCAGTGTTAAATAAAGCTAGAGGCAGCACTTGGAAAAGGGTATTACCACTTGTTGTGGTAAACGTCAGTTTATATTTGCTACAATTCAAAAAGATTTCTCACAGGAATGTTGCTGAACTGTACTGTAATATTGTCTTAGAAGGTTTGAGACACATAGATTTCTGCACAACAATGCCAAAAATTACCAGATGTGAAAATATTAAAAAAAGAAAAACTGTAAAATTACTGAATACTGTTAAAAATCCATTTTCCCCCTAAAATAAGTATTTTACCAAAACTGACTGGGGGAAGAATGCGGAAAGAAAAACTGAAAGTGTCATATTTTCAGGGCACCAGTGTTGTCAAAATGAAAGCTATGGAATGCTCCATCAAGAAATACCATTGCTGGTTTAATGGGGGAAACAGCAACTCTTTCTACAGGCATAGCTCCTGCTTTGAGTCTTTATATTCTAGAATTACTAAAGGGTAGCAGAATAAAGGAATTCTGTGGTAAATCATGACTTCATTTCTATATAGATAAGTTTTATTTCTATGTTTGCTGTACAATTTTTTTTTTCAATAAAGTAGAAAAGAACTTAAAATACTCAAATACTTCCTATTAATGAGTACTTAAGGAAGAGCCACAATATGAATTGGTATATAAGAAAGAGACGCAACTGAACCACTAGAGACAAGTAGATGTCTGGTAATGCTACAAGAGCCAACATCATCCTGAAGGTGGTGAAATTATAGAAAAGAGCTGAAAATATTACAAAGCTATAGAGTGTGATCAGAGGGCTCAAAAATATGAATTGAGTCAAGACTGAAAGAACTCACTTTCTTCGGTCATGAAAGTCTGACAGGAAGTTCAATAACACCCCTGAAATACATAACAAGGACAGGTAGTATTTTGTTCCTTGTCTATGGGATAGGACAAGGATTAATACACTTGATTCACAACAAGGCAGATTCATGTTTGACATTATGAAAACTTTTGAAAAGGACAGTTAAGCACACCAAATAGATCACTTCAGAGAACACTCAAATCTTGAGTAACAGAGCCTTCTCAGAGCAGGTGCGGTAAACATCTTCCAAGCTAGGTAGATGAAAGCAAATCAATGACTTCCCAGAAATTCTGTTCCTTTGCAATACATACTTCCTTGCCTATTTTTATTTTACTGATATAGATATGTTATGGGAGAACATTCATCTGAATATATTACAAGGAAAACCTGAAGATGCTGAAAACCTCAGTGTTTGCATGAAATCACTGTTCTAAAGTTGAATGTTTGATTACTTCATAAGTTTTGAAACTTTAATTCATACGCCATACATAAAGAATGTGTTGCAGCATAGGAATTATAGTAAATATCTGTAAAGATTTAAACATGCATTTCTGCAGAAGAGGTAAGAGGTGGAAACTCAAAGACTCCTTGGGAGACTCCTGTTATTTAGGTGGAGGAATAAGAAATTATACCACAGAGTCTGGGAATATGTAAAGGCCATATGATTTGTGTGTGTGCTATGGTATCCTATCCCATCCAAAGGAGTGTGTGCAGAAAGACCAGTCCTACCAAAACTGTGCAGAAATAAACTGCTTAAATTTTGCTTACAGTTTGGGAATTTTTAGCTCTTGCAAGCTGAAGGGTTGGACAGTTCATGGGACCTCATGATCTTAGCAGAAACATTTTGTTTTCCAGTGCAATATCCCAATTCCCATGAAACTTTTCACATGAAGGTGTTCTTGCGTTCAAGCAGGAACTGTGGTCAGAGAAACACGTCTATACCCTGAGTCAGAGTGAGCCTGCAAACTCCAGTTGACAGCTTCTTGCTGACAACTACACTGAGGTGTACCTGCTTCTCTTATGTGAGATCCCACATATTTTTCCTTAAATGAAGCCAAAATTTGGCTTCCATACAGCACTTTTCTGAATTTCCTTCAAACACGAGGCACTCTCTGAGTATTTTAGCCTACATTTTATTCTTTCCAGTGTTCCATGTAATTGCAGATTTATCTAGGTACTTTATCCTGGCTGATTTTGCATTTCTAATAATGGAAACATGTTTACCTTGTAACTCTGGAGTGCTGTTCAGCCTTGAATGGCTTTAAAGTGAAGCTGAATCCTGCCACCTTGTGCTCAAGAAAATTAGCACATCTCTTTATTTTGGGAAGGAGAGAAGAAATAGGAAAGGGGAAGGAAAACTTGATTAACTACCATGTTCCTGTTAGAGAAGGAATTAATTGAGGATCTGAAGATTCAATTGGTTGGGTCAAGTTCAGTATTGCCTGAGATGTCTACTGGAGATCTTCTCAAAAGGACGGTCACTCTCCTAGAGACAGTGTTCATGCCATGGACAGCCACTTTTCATATCCCCACAGGGTTTTGAAGCTGTGGCCTCCCCCATGACCTGATGCAGACAAGACACTTATCCAGCCTCTCATCCCATACCCTCTGTCTGTTTGATGGCTCAAGTTATT